TCGAAATTTCGATTAGAGTACTGAATGATTAAAACAAAAGAAATATTAGCACTTTACTTGAAAAAAAAATTGCAAAAAAACATCGTTTCAGATTTTTTGTTTTTATTTTTGTCTCAAGACTGACGAACCACAAAAAATACCTCTGCAAATAGGACAATAAAGAGTGGTGTTAAGATATTACCTGAGAATTACGAGTTTCGGGGCCGGTTAATTATACGAGGTCTAACGCATACCGCGGTTTTACGGAAGCGAGGGGCCTCAGGCATTCTCTAAGAGAGTTGATTTTACTACATAAATGCCCTTTCACTATTAACTTTCGGCCCTCTTGACACTGTCCACAAAAATAAATGTTCAATAAAACTTTCGGCCAAATTGAAGATGGCTTAGGACACGGTTTTGTTAAACAACAGCTACACTTAGTTCAAATAACCGGTCCTCAGCGCTTCGACTTAATGTTGTTTGACAACATAGACAACTAGTATGAATGTGTTAACAGTCTCCAACAACAATCTCCTTGTACTCATTTTGTTTTACTTGAATTAAGCATCTAAACCACGATCTGGTCAGATGATAAGAATGAAAAGAAGATCGGCGAAAGTCAATAAAAACAAATGTAATTGAAATTAAATGAACGCATGAGAATAGATAAATAAACCGAAAACAGAAAAAATAAATGGAATTCTACACTTCATAATGTTGTCAATGCAAACAGAATGGATTTCAGCTGGAAAAATAAACAAACAAAAAAATAAAACAAACGGCTAACCAAGAATAAAATCATAGCCAAAAAAAGAGCTGTAGTCATACTTTTGCTCTGGAAATATTTTCGTGAAATTGCATTCATATGCTGGTTCAAAAAGTTATCTTGCCCATACATGAGTGACAAAAAGAAGAAGGCATGAAGAAAACTTAAGATGCGAGCGAGCGGCCATTTACCTGCGCATGCTCGATGGATAAAATATATACCCGCTGGTCGATGCTTAATCTATCGCCGTACACTGACACTCTTCTCTACAATTAAACATCAATCGAAACTGGAAATTGAAG